TATAAAAAATTACGAAGTAAATGTTAAACACTTATTTCCTCGAATAAATTCCAGAATGGATTAAGCATGATTTAATTCGCAATAATAAAAGAAAGCGTTATCTTTCTTGTTGCGAAGCTTAGTTTCTCAGATTGGCAACAAATCACTATCCTGCTAAGTTTCAACTGTAAACAAACATGGCCTCCATGGCAAAAATAATGAGGCTTAGCCGCACTTAACTTTTAAATTGTTGATAATTCTAAAAATATTGCATACAATAATTAATTTAGGTTTAATTATTTTTAATAAAGGCATAAAAACCTTAACCGGAAGATAGAAACAACATAATTCAATCAACTTTAAAGCAAAAAGTGCACAAATTACAAACATATAAGAATAAAGAAACTGAGCTCACTGAGCCGAGTTAGTGAATGTATATATATATATATACACATATATTTATATACTTTTGGTGCGGCCGATTGCAACCAAAATACGAGGTGCACGTCTACATGTTATAGCAGTCCCATATACAAAATGTCAACGGTCTGAGGCTACACATTTTTGAGTTATGCGAGATACGTATGTACGTACGTACGCACAGACGCCACGGAAAAGTATCTTCAGAATTCATTTTAAATCAGTTTTATATTTTTTTTGGGGGGGGGAGAAAAGTGTCCTTTATTCTGTCCCTACTTGCCGATGTCACGCAAAATTATCATTAAATTGCATTGGATAGAGGTCAAAATGGATATTTGCGTTGAAATATGCTGCCTGAAACTTTTCCCGATTACAATACTTCCTTTTTACTTCGTACAAGGAAGTAAAAACTGAAAGAGCTAACGGTCACCCGAAGGGGCTAGTTAAGGTTATTTTACTCTCTCGCTGTTCCACTCCCTCCTGCTAACCAACTTCTTGACTAGCTTTATTTTTAAGTATAATTTTCTTTGCACTTACACAATTCGACAGCAGAATTACAAAAGTTCTTGAAGCTGCATGTGTTTAGAATTCCCGATAAAACGCTAATTGTTGGGATACATTTTCCTATTTTTCGACTTTTTTCTCAGTTTATCATATTAATGCACAGTTTTCGTAGTAAGATAGCTGGCAAAATATTTTTTGCCTTTTCTTATTAACGTTTTGTGCGTTAAACTTATTTATTAAATAACATCTTCTTCGCACTTACGCCATATAAAATTCAATTGCGTAGCGAAATCGCAAAAAATTATAAACGGCATATCCTTAGAATTCCCGATATGCAGTCTCGTGCGTTGGAGATAACAATGTTTTAATCCGTACAGCGCTACCACTGCTCGCTTTCAAATCGGTTAGCTTGTTAAAATTTCATTGAAGTTTTACAAAATAAGAAACATAAAACTCGAAATTTCAATTTTGGTCTTCCTGGTGCACATATTCAGGTAGAAGGTATGATGGCTTTAGATACCGCCTTTTTTTTTTTTTTTTTCAGAATTCAAAGAAATCATAAAACGCCAAATCAGTTAAAACAATTAAAAAATTACAAATAAAATTAGAGCTTCTACACAAAAGCAAGCCATTCGGCCAGCGTGCAAGAGGGCGGATTTTTCGTGCACAAAACCGAAAGTTTACTTTTGGTCCCACTCGGCAAAAAGGCACTGAAGGTGCAGAAAATGACTTAATTCACTAATCTTCTAAGTTTCAAATGTAAGCAAATATGGCTGTTATGGTAAAAAAAAAAAAAAAAAAAAAAAAAAAAAATTAGGCTTACACGCACTTAAACAACTTTTAAATCGTTAATAATTCTACAGCTATAGCATCCACGTTAGCTAAAGGCATAAAAACTTTAACCGGAAGACACGAACAACATAATTCAATTATTTTTAAAGAAATAAATGCACAATTTACCAACATATAAGAATAAAAAAAACCGAGCCCACGAAGCCAAGTAACAGAGTGCATATATATATATATATATACTTTTGGGTGAGGCCGATTGCAACTCTAAAGAGAGATGTACAACTGCATGTTACAGTAGTCCTATATACAAAATTTCAGCGTTCTGACTCTATACATATGTACGTACGTACAGACGTCAAAAAAAAATATCTTCTGAATCCATTTTAAATCAATTTTATAATCCGTTTAGAAAAAAAAAAAAAGATTCCTTTATTCTGTCGTTACGTACAGATGTTACGCAAAAACATTGTTAACTTGCATTGGATAGCGGAAATGGATATTTTCGTCGAAATATGATATCCGGAATATTTCTTGATTACAAAACTTCCTTTACCTCGTGCAAAGAAGTAAAAAGCTGTTTGCACAAAAATGCATTCCCGTACAAAGAGATTACTCGTAGTGCAAAAATCCGAAACTGAGATTGTTTTATTTTAATTAAAAGTACGAATAAAAGTTAATAAAATCTGTAGCTTCAATTTTTGAATATGATTTACATTTTACTGTAAATTAATCCATTTAAAAATTTTCTGGTACATTATTCCCGTTCCTTTTTAGTGGTATTGAAAATAATTCGAGCTCTAACTTCAAATAACTAAAATTTTGATATCTTTGTAACGCTGTGTTTGTAACAAAAGCATAAGTGAAATGTTTTCGCAGGCATTAAAATTGGCAACTTTATTGATATACTGCGTTTCCTCGTAGGTTTGCCCTTCCAGGTTCTGAAACTTTTTAATATAATCGCGCAATGTTTCCCCTTCGTCAGGGTCTTCGGAGAACAATCTCCCCTAAATTTTAAAATGAGTTTTGCCCGCGTTGTAATTGTTTTCGTTTTAGTAGCAGAGACAAACCCTCTCAAATTACCCGCGAAACTCACGCCGAACCTTTCTCTTCTAACTTTTAAACTTTATACCAACCTAGTGCAATACACCTACCCATCACAGAGAAAGCAAAACGCACTGACATTCCGTCCGCGATTTCACCGAATCCAGCTGCATATTAACTTTGTCTAATTATTTTATGGATGTCCGAAGTCTAAAGTGTGTAGCAGAGACAAGAATAAGAATGGAGAGATTGAAGTTACAGGAAAGTAAAAATGAAGCTATTTTATTCTATACTGTCATGTTAATATTACTGTGTATTCTTATAGAAATGTAAGCTTTTTAAAAGAAATAATATTATTATAGTTACATAGTTACCTGTTGTGTTCTAGTCCGTTGTGTTCTAGTCAAGAAGCCAAGAGATATTCACTGTTCATACATGACAACTTTTCGTTTGCGATGTTCTCACTCTAACCACATCCTTTGGAAAGTAAATTATTCGCATAATTTTCCCCTTTCGATTTTTGAACAGTGTAGAGATGTATGAAAATTTTTGAACAGTGTAGAGACATCAGGAATTTTTTTTTTTTTTTTTTTTTTTTTAAATAGAAATCATGAAAAATGAGCAGTGCTCTGTCCGGGTCTCCAACAACGGACCTCTCGAATACACGCCGAGTGTGCTGACCATTACACCACGAAGGCATGCTAAGAAGGCAGGAAAAATACCTTAAAACAGTAAAATTAGTAAAAACATTGAGGAAAGGCGACAATTATATGAATAATATTTTAACCTCAGTTTGAATCCCATATATGAAATATCGCACTGCAAACGTCCGTTCATTTCCAGTTTCCCGACATATTTCATTTTTCTTTCAGACTCGGTAACTGTGAAAGAAAATCTACTTCACCGAAAGTATTTAACAATAAATTTCTCGAAATAAAAAGTATAATTGTAAATGACAAGAAAGGTGAGTGCGCAGGGGTTGTAACCGAGGGTAATCGATGCCGAAAAATGATTGCTCAGTTCTCGTAACAAGTGAGTCTAACAATCAGATAATTAAACGCACTGCCATTCAACGTTTATCAGAGATTGAAAGAACAAGAAATATTTTGTGCGATCACGACTGCGTTTAGCCTCGTCACGATATCGACGCTCACGCACGTCGTGATAAGCAAACTTATGCAAATGAAAGTCTCCAAAACGTTTCTTATTGAAATGAAATAATGTTCCGAAAAGTTGATCAATTACGGAACAGTGAATATCTCTTGGCTTCTTGACTAGAACACAACGGATTTTTTTTCCTTTTAGCACACACACACACACACACAAAAAAAAAAAAAAAAAAAAAAAAAAAAAATAAGACACTGAAAACATGTCGTAGTAGAACGCTTATATCTCAATAGCACCAAAGCTTTCGTTTAGAGCATATGTGACAGTTAAAGGAGACAATAACAAAACACACACATTAAAAAATAAATAATAAAAAAAATCTGATATCGGCAATATCACAAAATATTTTAAAAGAGCCTATTTTTAGAATTTCCAATACACAGTCTCGCGTGCTAGTCATAAAAATATTTTTTTTGTGTGCGGTGTGTGTGTGTATGTGTGTGTAAGCTGTTGACATTTGCTCGCTTTGAAATCGTCGAGTTTCTTATCAAAAACTCATAAATACTTTAGAAAATATGAAATAAGTAATAAAACAAATTTCCGATTGGGGCTTCCAGATGCCCATATTCGGGTGGAGACGTAAGTTCTTCAAAATTGGATGGCTCTAGGTACCGTTGTTTTATCACAATGCCAGAAACAAATACATTTATGCAGATACTTCATTATTTGATTTCTTTAAATATAATACAGGGCTCTAATATTGGGTGGCAACAATTTAAAAAGTGATTCGCCGTTTATAGTGAATCAACGCAAAATGAAAAAACGAAATTAATAGCCCTTCTAGGCTAAAGTCCTTGGGGCTAAAAAATTTTGAAATTCGCTTACTAAGCATTTCTCAAGACATGCATAAATAAAAAATAGTAATATCACAAAGGGAAAAAATTGAAATTTTAATTTTCTGCCTAAAATCTAAAGTCTGTAAGACATTTCTCACGGCTACATTTTGTTACTTATGTATGTTAATCGCTAAATATTAAATTTTCTGATTGACGTTAGTTTAAGGTTTGTTCTGAAATGTTTAATTAATCATTAAATAAGGATAAGTATTATTTTTATTTAAGCTGAAAGATCTAATGACTAATTCCTTAACTTTTCAGAGAAAATTTTTCAAAGGGAGCAAAACTTGAGAACCTATAATGACAGGTTAGCCTGTTTATCTTATTTATTAAGTTTTTCGTCGACGTATTAACGAAAATACATAAGTTTATACGTAAATAATTACAAGCATCATTTGATGCGAAAACTTGACATTGGATGGCATTCCGATTTTGATCATGTTTGTAGTTTTGGAAAAGAAATTACTTTCATGACGCATTGTATCGATGCCTTATGGGTCAACCGGATTCTTTTCTTATTAACTTTCGAATTATGAAAAAATGCTGCTCACATATAAATGTATTTCCGAACAAAGAGATTATCCGTAATGCAAAAATTTGTATTTCATTTATATTTTTTAAGAGTATAAATAAAATTTAATAAATTCTACATTTTCAAATCTTTGAATATGATTTATATAAAACTGTAAATTAGTTGAACAAATGTAAATTAAATGAATAAATTTAAAATGAATTGAATAAATGTAAGATTAATTGAACAAATGCAAATGAATTAATAGAATAAATGTTAAATTAATTGAACAAATATAAATTAATGCATTTATAGATTTTCTGGTGCGTTTTGAACGGTAAGAAAACTAAAATAAGCTCGGACTTAAATATAATAACTAAAATTTTAAAATCCGTATGATACTGTATTTGCAATAAACAGGTAACTGAGCATCTCCCACCGCGATCCTGCGACCTCACTTCGATGAGTTTCTCGTTCTAGGATTATCTGAAATCCAAAATCGTACGCATCAATTCCACGAGACGCCGACCAGCGGCCGATCGGTAAAAGGCCGCTGAACACTGCTAGTTTTGTCCAAGGTTCGAATCGCGCGAACCAGCTGACTGCATGAGCGTTTTCGTGGTTTTCCCATGTGTCACGTATATTTGAGCCAGCTTTCCTTAGAAAGTCCTCCACGAAGGCATCCCTTGACAGATAGCCGTAATCACATAAACGAAATCATCAAATCAACGAGGTTTACGAGAACCGAAAGCCATATAACCTGAAGTTATACAGATTCTTCCTGCCATCTTACATTCGTTAAATTATTGTCGACGACCTCCCGCATGCAATGCGCTGTCGTCTGGCGAAGGTGGAAGCGTTGAAAACTTGCACTTCCAATAAAATTCCTTCCTGCTTAACAAAGGCTGTTCTTTGCGTACATTTTACGTCGTCAGTTTTCGTCATGCGTGTATCGCCCCGACGCCATCTATAGTTTTTCTATGCACTCATTTTTCGCAGGAAAAACGTGACGTTGCCTTTCGAAATGTTTTCACTGTAACCGTAAATGGAGAGTTCTATTGTTTTTAACGCATACCTTCAAACGTCAATACCTGAAATTTTATTTCGATGGGTTGAGTGGACAGGCTGCTAGGGGTTCATATTTCGAGGAAGTTTTTTATGACCCCTCCGTAAAATAAAATTTTTGTGACCACCCAAATTGAAATGAAGAATAAGAGGGACTACTGCCAATTAAAATACGAAGTTCGGTTTCATATTTTTAATCTTATATATTATATATATATATATACTGAAATACGCAGTCTCGGTCTATATATATGTATATAACAAATATTCTCTATTCGTAAAAAGCTAATATAAAATTTAATTGCAAAAATAAAAAATAAAGAAATTAATTTAACAACAGCAATAAAATTTAATTTTAATATTTATTTATTTGTTTTATTTCTTATTTTTGCAATTAAATTTTATATTAGTTTTTTACGAATAGAGAATATTTGTTAAATTCAATTTCATTCCTTGCAGCAATGGTGCAAGAGAATTATTTAAATTTAATTTAACGTTACTATATTCTTGTGAAACAATATATATATATTGGCAGGAATTTTAAACTAATAACTCCGAAACTTCTCGTGTTTCGAAAGTTGAGTATCCTCGATGCCTAGTTTGAATACAGTATCCAAAGCAAAAAAAAAAAAAAAAAAAAAAAAAAAAAATCATGGACCATTTCGAAGAAGTAGCTCTACTAACTGTCACAATGGCAAACATTTTTTAATCGCGTTACCTCTGTCTTTCTTAGAATAACCCAATTAACCATTCATTAGAATACACATATATGCAAATGCTTGACCAAAGTATAGATTAACATATCAGTGACGCTTTGGGGGCACAAGTTCGCATTAGAAAAACCGAAAAATAGTGGGAGGGGAGGGGAGAAGCCGTGTTATACCGATGATTCGGATACATATTATTTACCTTGTAGTAAGAAAGAAAGACAGATAGTCTCTTTGTAATTGTACAGTAGCTTTAGAAGATGATAAAAAAAGAGACTGCTGAGAAGTGCGGGGGGGAGGGAAAGAGAAAGAGAATTGGCAAATTAGGTAACGGACAGTGATGTAGTGCAAAGTTATTAAACCCTGCAGCTGTAGTTAGCTCTAAACGAGTTTTAGATCGGTCAGCTTATTTTCTTTCTTTTAAAAAAATAGGAAGATGAGAAGAGGCCTGATTTTTTTCCCTCATTTCAATGTGCTTTTTATGCGATTGATTCGGGTTTAATTTTTTTTTCGAAAACGTAGTATCCGGTAACTTCATAAAATGGTCTAGACTAGTGATCTCTGACTCGAATGGTTATGCGTGCCAAATGCGCAAGTGGAAAGCAGCTAACGGACCAGAATCTTGTTTTCAAATTGAAAATCGTCTTTAGCAAAACAATATACCAATAGAAAAACGAAAATTAAATTTTTACTTGCTAAATATTTTTTGAAGCCTACATAAACAATATCAATAAAAATATCTGAAAGCTTTCAGATTTTACATTACGTCAAAGGAGCGTTTTGTTAACGTTTTGTGTGCTACCTTTATTATTTATTAAGTATCATGTTCTTCGCACTTAAACCATAAAATTCAGTTCAACAGCAATATCGCAAAATAATTTTTTAAATGAGCATATCTTTCGAATTTCCGATACACAGTCTCGCGCGCTCGAGATAAATTTTTTTCCGTACAGTGTTGCTACGCTCGCTTCGAAATCGTTGAGTTTGTTATTCAAAAATTCGTTAAAGTTTTACAAAATTTTAAATAGATAATAAAACAAATTCGAAATTCAAAACTTGGGCTTCCAAATGTCCATGTTTGTTTGGAGGACTACGTTATTCAAAATTGGATCGCTCTAGGTACCATTGTTTCTTCACAATGCGAGAAACATTCATGCAGATTCGTCATTATTTAGTTTCTTTAAATATAATACAGGATGATAATATTTGGTGGCCACAGTTTCAAAATGAATCGACGCAAAAGCCCTTTGAGCTAAAAAGAAGTTTAGAAAGAAAGGGAAACTTTTACTTGAATTTCTTTTTAAGAAAAACGTTTACTTGATTGAGAAAAAAAAGAAAGAAAATTTTTTTACTTGATTGAAAGAAAACCTTTTACTTGATTCTTGAAGTTTAAACACACTATACAATTTTAAATCTGCTTTTAATAAAGAAGTATTTTCTGAATGAGAATTTTGAAAACATACCCATATTTATTAGGAATGCGCAAGTGCAATTTAACAAATTCACTAATGTATTGCAATTAAATCTTTTAAATCAGTAAGTTCATTTTATCAACATAATTCCCCAAAAAGTATATAATAAGTGTTTATTTATTAAATTTGTTTTTACAAATCTTTTTAAACCAGAGCAAGTACAGAGAATTTTAATAGTATCTTACTTTAGGGTTCTAAAGATTCGAATGAAGAATGAAGTGAATGAAAACTCGAGTTTTCTAATCTTCATGCGTTTTCGAGATTCGGGGGATTCGAAAATTTGAATGTCCCATAACTAGATAATACGATAATGAAGATAATATCGGAAATAAAATAATACCGAATTCCTCAGTTGTCACGCTTGACTGAAACTCTTTGAAATGTTCTGTGCACACCATTGTTATATATCTTGCCACTGTTTGAATATATATGAGCGCTAAAAACTGGCAGTTAGTCCACAGTTCCAATTTCCGGGGGCAAAGCGGGTCAGCAAACGGCACAGAAATGGTTCCCCCTCCCCTGGAAGAGCAGAGACTCGAGTTAGTCTCTTGCGAAATGTATACAATTGTCTTTAAAACCTACAGCATAAGATTAAATTTAGCCTCATATAAAATTAGAGCAATTTTGTTTATTTTATAAAATTTTAATGAGTTTGTTCCAAAGATGTGATGCCATCTTAAAATGCTTAGCTTTCAAAATCTACATCCGCAGTTTACATCCAAACCTCACTACGATAACTTTTTTTTTAAAAAAAAAGTTTCCTTCCTCTTAAGCTTTTCGTAATTTCCTTATTAAATAAAACAATTACAAATCCGTCTACCACATCAGAATATTCATTATTATTTTATTACTTAATAAAAATTTTACAATTTCGGAATTAATAACCATCTTAATGATTTTCTTTTCTTGTTTTATGCTGGATCGCAACGCCGTCAACCTAGATACTGCGTACAGATTTGCGTAATCGTTATCTTCCCCACAGGGATATTTCCCTGAAATAGAGTTCGGCCCATTTTCCCTCGATTGTTCCGCAATAGTGTAATTACATATCATCAGTCTCATTCCATATGCAGTGTATGCGAAAACATATCAGTGCACACGATCTGCCAAAATGCGAGGAAATGGAAGAGCGAGAGATGCCGAAATATTAAAACATATCGATGGCTCGATTCAATATTTCCAGTAGTGCAGGAAAATCAGATAATGTGAACAGGAAATTAACGTTTAGGAAGTTTTATTTCTTTTCTTTTCCCCGGCTGTTTGTCGTGGAATGAAATTGAGAAATCATTCATTGCCGATTTTGCCGTCTCAGAACGATCGGATGTTATATAATCGTTATTTTTGTAGTACAGATTAATTTTACAAAAAGTTTTGATTTATTTTGGGGGTATTATATAAATATACATAAAAATTTTATCCTGTACAAGACAAATTGGCGGAAAATAGACTTAAGATGTCTGTACAGGCACATATAAAATGTGTGTTGATCACAATATTTATTAAAATGTTCTCTTACAGTCAATAATTACCGTAGCATACCATTAAACGATCA